TACTCTCTTCATATTAATCATACATACATTACAAATGTATATAAACAATGCTATCATCACATAAAAACTGCCACTAACTGAATTTAATACAAATGGTTAATGTTTGAAGTAATCTGAAATCAATGCACAAAACAGCATATCTAACATAGCATTAGAGAATTAATCAAAGTTTTTTAAGAATGATTTGCACATGCTAATATATCATGTTGCTGAAAATGTGAGCCACAGCACCATCATCAACTACATTTAGCATTTAGATATTTGTTTCACAACAAATTCCTAACCATTCAACATACAATGTCACCTTGGATTGACTTAAAGCTTTTCCAAGGAAAGCCACCTGTATATCAAAATTGTAGAGAATTAAAGCTTGGGGTGCACAAACTTAACAAATGCTACCACTAATGTGTTGAAAAACAATGGCAAGCAAAGAGCAGAACACTCATACAAGTATAAGGCTATAAAATCAACTAAACAGATTACCATTACACAGAGAATTACTACTAAACCACCACAAAACTTTGTACACACCGGTTAGCTACCATTGCATGAACATAAACACTCAAAATATTATTTATACAAGATTGTAAATATCCAAATCAACTGTGTATCACATAATTCACAAAGGACTTGCCCTTGTAAAGAACCATAAACCATGAGTGCACAAGCTGCTCCCAAAACACTGGTGACAAAGAAAATTGCCAAAAGAAATACAAAAATATCTTGCATGTGGGAAATGGAAATCTGTTGCAACAATATATTAGGCTTTGGTGCACTTGAAGGAATGCAACAAGAAAGAAACTATATACTGAATACGAAATGATACAGTATTCCCCAACTGGTAGAGAAAATGTAAAATGTTTTTCATCAAGTTTTATGGTTGTTGCAAATTTCTTAAATAATAGGAAACTTAAGTTCACAATGTCTGCAGTAAAGCAAAGATTAACTCTAGTTACTCTGAAGAGAATGTATTATTACCAATTATGTGAGGTTAGACTCCTGTGCTGTAAAGGCCATGATGTCAAGAAGGAATGGCTAATATCACATCGCACATCTAAGTGTAAAGCAGCATTTCTATGAACCATAGAAAAAAGATACTGATGTTCATGCTATCCTCTTCTGTGAAATAACCTAAAGGTGCACGATTTCCTATGTGTTTGATTTGCTTAAATGTATTCATGAAAGTCAATGTCCACGTACAGTGGAGAGACCTAAGAAAGTATGTGACGATGCATGGTTTAAGATTTACCTCATATTTCGTTGCAGGAGCTTCTTATAATAGATATTGTGGTTTAGAGCAACAGTGTTTAACCAAAGTAATTAGACTGAGCATAACTAGTGATAGAGAAGATGCTTCCAATGGCAGCACAGGACTTGAAACATGATTTTTATTAAATTTGGTTTACTATCTGTATAAATATCACTACTTTGTCATCTAATCAGCTTACTACCTGTACATATATAACATTAGATACAGAAATGTGCCACTTTTATCATACTTTACAAATGAAGATCACATATAAGGCCAATCATAATAAAATATGACAAACAAAATAAAAATCTGATTTAAAAAAACAATTGTGAAAAATTACATATAACAACACTGGTAATTGTCATAAAAATTAATTATTTTCACCATCACTTCTTCCTATCTATTTCAACATTCTTAGCAGTTGATCTAAAGCAGTAATAAATTGGCCTCAGTTTTTCTGTTTCCTAATAAATAGCTCGATGATGTTAAAGATGTATTTACTAATTACTCAATATTCTATCACAAAGTTTTATTCTAAAGGTAATGGTCATAATGATTACCAACAATGATTTTTTTTTTTCACAGATCATATCAATTTACAAAAACGTTTTCTTGGAAAATAGTTTGTTTATAATTGATGTTTATCAGTTAAGACTGACATTTATCACTTCTTTTATTCTCGCACCAGGAATTCATAATTAAATAGTACCTTAGAGACCAATATTATTCCATACATTAGTTTAGTATCAATATCAATTACCTGTTACATATATTAGAGACACTTAATCTGCCCAGTTGGTTGCTTGATTTTTTACAGGTTTTTACATGTTTTTTGAGATTAATAAGTGTACTTTAATATCAATGTGTGTGTGATATATGCACATTTATACTAAAGTAATTATATATTCTTTTATTATTCAATGGAACTTAAATTCTACTCCTACCTTATACTGCATTCATAAAAATCTCACTAAGCACTTTATATAAATATACAGCTTCCACTTTTGGTAAAAGTAACTTAAGTATTAGTAAAATGGCTCAATTACTTTAATAATGATCTAGGTATCACAATATTTGTGTATTATCACATTCCTCAAGATATTAAATGCTCAATAAAAGTATGAAACAACATGTTATGAGGAAATAAAACACTTATGCCTTTGTTGTTGTTTTTTTTTTATAAACTTCAGACAACAGGCTTATTGAAACTTTAAAGTTTGAAATATCTTTCAAGGCAAAGTTGATAAAAGAAATTAGCATATATGTAGACCTTGAGTAAACCTTCAATATAAATATGGAATAAGGTGGTGTTGGTGCCTTTTCCTAGTTCAAGCAATCAAGGCCTTCCATAAAACTTTTCAACAATGTACATAATCCACTTTCCCATTAATTCCCCCCCTAAAATAACATCAGTTGAATCCTACAGCACAGAAGTGAAAGTAGAAAAGAAGCATTCAAGGAGTGTGATGTGAGACAGAAGTATTCTTTTCTTGCACAAGCTACTCTATAAGTATAATATTTAAATACACTCTTGCTCTAGTATCATCAGTATTAGAATAATCGAGATAAAGGATAGGATAAATCATGATAATGCATACACCGGATATTTCATATTCATATTACAGGTTAGATTTGTTTGCTATAAGCACAGAACTACAAGTCCTGCCAAATCTCTCCAATCAGAATTTGTAGCTATATCAATCATAGGGTGATGAGGATGCAGATGGTGATCCTTTCTTTGTACGCTACAAAAGAAAGTTATGGTGATGCATTATCATCATCTGGTGATCCTAATTATTAATTAACTGCCTCAAATCCTGTAGGATCAGCCCCACCAGTGGTAGTCCCCATTCACAATAAATGTATAAATGGTATATTTTACTCTCCATACACAATTTATTTGGTTGTAGTTAACTTTTTCTAGTTTTCATCTTTTCGTTTCCATTTCTAAATATCTTATACAACAAAAGGATGTAACCATAGCGTTTAATAGTCATGGCAACCATATAATTGGTTTGGTTTGTTCGGAAGTTCGTGCAAAGCTACTCGAGAGCTATCTGCACTAGCCTTCCCTAATTTATCAGTGTAAGACTAGATGGAAGGCTGCTAGTCATCACCACCCACCGCCAACTCTTGGGCTATTCTTTTACCAATGAATAGTGGATTGACTGTAACATTATGATGCCCCAACAGCTGAAAGGGCGAGCATTTTTGGTGGGACGGGGATTTGAGGATTCATTAGTGATATAATCATGGGAAGGCTGTATTGAATGGTTAATTACTAATGGAATTAAGTTTTCAGATGCAATGTGAATGAGAAATGTTTCTATTTTGATACAGGCCAGTGAGAAGTTAATGTGTAGGTAAGATAAAGCAGAAGTAAAAATGGGTCTGTATCTAAAAACACAGTCTGTTCACATGAATTATTTGTTAAAAAACAAACACTATGCAATTTTTAAAAAATCAAACCTATCAATATGGATCAAACTTAGTTAACAGGAGACATTGGCATATAATCAAAATTAATAAAAGAACAAACAAAGATTCAACTATAATACAACTCAATTTCACAAGCTATGGTGATTTTGTATTTGTTTAACTAATATGAGGCAACATACATAACAAATAATTCATGTTGATTGATAACACAGTAAAATATAAGAATTAATCAATTAAATACCAAGTGTGTTTCTAAGACCACTGAATTAAATAAAATTATTAAACTGTAACTTTAAAAAAATTAAAAATCACTGCTATTAAAAGTATTAAATAAGTTTTTGAAACTCCTAATTTTAGAAAATGCATTGTTTATTATATTTCAGTTCAATCATTATGATTTTCACACATTTGTCTTTGTACTCTTAATGTTATTGTAACATCATTGTCTTTAAAACTAGCCATTAAAGAAGTAAGAAACTAAACACTAAACAAAACGTTGGCAAGCATAATTTCCCCTTAACTTATTTTGAAGGTACTTGCATGAAATTTTTATGGGCAGTACCACAGTTTTAATGAGTACACAAAGGATATAAACCAACATGCTTTTTACCAAACAGTCTCTTATATCTATGTGGTTGGTAGAAAATTATAATGCTGAACAATGTATTAGTTTTCAATAATATAAAATAAAACAAAATACTTCTCATTAGTTACTCACATACATTATTATAAAATATGTTTATAAAAAAAATTTCAAACATTTATTATTGTGATTATCTTTTTTTTTTCATATTTATTTACCAAGAAACAATACTTTGAAACTGATCTATCATCCATAAAACAATGTTTTAATGTTTATTAATTAATGTAATGATCATGTGATACATAAAAATACAGACTAATGTAGTAAAAAGCATGATGATAATCAACAAACGTTATTTATAAAATATTCCAAATGACACTGGAACATAGGACTTGTTTTTTTTTCAGTGTATGAGAAAATGGTACAAGTCAATTGAAAAGATGTACTCATATAGTTATCACAACTTTTAGAATTCTAAAACAAAACCACAAATGGTTTATTATCACAAGGCACTTAATTCTCAAGAGTAAGTAACAATGATGTGTCTTACATTCTTAATGCATTTTCAAGATTAATGAAAGAAAGATAAAGCTACATTAGCCAAACTTTATTTCATTGTATTTTAGCTGCAATTTTTTTTTTACTTAGCTTTTGACATCAAACTAGATATTCAAGTATTTTTGTTTATTTAAGAGAAAAGCCCACATTGGGCTATCTGCTGTGTCCACCACAGGGTCTGGGGTTTTTCCCTGTGGTTTTAGTGTTGTAAATTGTAAACGTGTTGCTGTCCCACTGGGGGATGAAGAGAAAGTTTAATTATGTCTGCATTACAGGCTCTACTGTTCAAGCCTGAAATAGCTGTTTCCTGAGGTAGTTAACCCAAGTTTCTTACTGCAGTATTAAAACTTTTCAATGTTATTTTAGAGGTTTACTCCATTATTTCTGTAAAGCACTGATTTATTTTTATTTTTTTGATATATCATAATAATAAGCATAGCAAGTGGTCAAGAAAAGAAAGAACACAAGTTAATTATTCAAACTTTTTGAAATATTTAAAACTGTAACAGCAAAAATGAAATAGCTTTAAAGTTAGCATAATACAACATACTTTTAGCTGTATCAACTGACAGCAGCTGATGATCTACCTTCAATCTTCTTTATCATAAGTTTATTTAAAACAAACGGAAAGATGGATATAGAACTTTCATACCCTACATCTTCCACTTAAGAAACTCTTTGAAAGTTATAATAATCATACCTATTCATTTTGTCTCTTTTTGTAACTTTATCTAAAAAAAGAAGAAAAAATGGTGTAGTATTTAATATTAAACAGCTAAAACATTTTGTAATGCTAACAAATTAAAATAAGCCTATATATAAACCTTGTGCTATACATTTTAGACCACAGCAAGTATGTGATATATCTCCAATTGTTTGTCATGACACTTGAAACTATACAAACTGTGATTTGATTTTTCTATGTACTGAAGTATCATGTTTATGAATCATTTTGCATATAAACATGGTGATACCCTATACATCTACAACAGAAAAATTCAATCCTATGAAAATGTAAGTATACTTATTCAATTATAAAAATTGGCAGTATTAATACCTGCTACACAGATTACTTCATTTCGCATCAATTATCTTTAATTCATCATTTTCTAATGCCACACCTGCAGTAGACCAGTGTTACATTAAAGAACACACAGAACTTCTCCGATCTTGATTTTCAAGTGCAGCAGCACGTCTCCGAGATGCTAGTAAAAGAAGAATATAATAACTAAAGAATGTAAAAACTTTCATAGCTCAGAATGTTTATGCACTACTGCCCTTTTATTAACTTTGTAATTTGTGCAGAAAAAATCACAAGTGAAGCAAAATTAAGTAAATGAAAAAATAAAAGAATGTTGTTGTAATAACACAGAATTAATATGTACATTAAGATTCAATAATAACAAGTTGAATTATTAAACATTTATAAGTTGAGCACTAAAAGCTAAAAATAAAAAAATATGTATAATACAATAGCTAGTTAAGTATTTATAACAGCTTGATATGTCAATGTTATATAAACTTTTATGTGTTAAAGTTTAAATCTAATTCAATATGTACAACCATCAGCCAAGATTTTCAAAGTCCTACACTGCCTAGCCCCTTCGTAAAGACCTCCCACAGACATATGTTAAATACTCAGTTCATTTATGTATTGAAAAAAGAGTGTAATATGCCATTTGGTTGTTTTTGCTCTATAAATACAGTCAAAGTGATATCATGGATACTATATAAAACAATGGGTAAAAGCAAGGATTTCTACAATTTTCAAAAGGTCATGTGTCTGTTTAACTGTAGCATCACTATCACGGTAATTTACTCACCAGCTATTCAAAGAAATCTAATATCAGGGCCTTTCAACACTGATAATCAAAATGGATCATGTCTTCCACTGGAAAAAATTATGTCCACAAATCACTAGAGGCAGACTGATTGAAAAGACAATTGGAGCCGTGGCTCTATAGTGCAATAAACATCAAGTCACACCAAAATTGACTGATTCTTTCACAAGTAGTCAGGATTCAGCTACCAGTAACAAAGTGAAAGGACCATTGGGAAAAATAGCTCAGTCAAACAGGAAAGCGTAGTTTCAGTGGTGTTTATAGAAAGCATGTAATGTGGTCTGATGAGTCATATCTGTACTGTCTAAATATGGATAAAACACTGAACATTTAATCCTACTTGTGTAATGGTGTAGGAATATTCTTGTGACAGGAGTTGGTTTTTTGTTTTCTTTAGAATTGCAAATGAATCACAGCATTTTTGCCACTCACATTTGTACACACGATATTGTACAATCCACAACACTGATTTTTCTCTATTATTTCCATAATATAATAGTGACACCTATCATCTTCCTTGACCAGCACAATTACTAGATTTCAGTCTGATTGAGGAGAATGGAATGAACTTGAGCATTGCATTCACCACCATAATTCTTGGTTGAAATCCATGAACCAAATCCTTTTTGATGAATGGGGTACAACACAACTTTCAAAATATTATGAAGTCCAGATTTTTTTTTTAATGAAAGGAAATTTAATTCCATATTAGGTGGAGGTCCTACTACAATGACAAGAAAATATAGTATGTCAAATGTTCTTTTAACTTTAAAATCAAGTTGTAGAGCTGGTAAATAGACATGTGTTAATAAGTTTATAAGGCTCTTCTAACCTATGTTCTGAGTTCTCCACATTATCTTTTGCTGCCTGAATTTGAATCCTATTACAGCAATCCCAAAACTGGTCCAACTAGCAGTTTTTTTTAATTACATCACTTGACTACCTTTAGATCATCAACAGAAAATAAAAATAAATACCTCTTTATATTACCAATACATTTACATGGAATATTCACTTGCATTTTCTGTAAAGATTGCAGCTTTGTGTCACTCAGATGTCTCATGATAAGTAGAATATCAATCTATACCAGTACTTTGAAAAAAATGTGGTTGTGATGTATGTGAGAAGAGTTTCAAACAAATATTGTGAAAATAGCCATGTGATAAGTGATATTATACCACCTGAGTTTCATAAAATACATTTATTAGTAATGTTTCTATAATTAACATAATTAAAAGGCTTGTCTAACTTCCTTTAGAAATAATTAAGGATACACAAAAAACTAGTGATTCCCCAATATTTTGGATTACACTTTTCTTTAAAACCACAGTATATAAAAATGCTTCTGTCAGTACAAAAAAAAATTATCATTTATTTTTATATTAGTTTTTTGAAAAATCCCAATTATTACAGTAAAAAATTATGTGACCACATACTACAATATCAGGGATAAAAGCCAATATTTATAATATTAAGATGTATCAGCCCAATATAACATATAACCATATTATAAATGCATCATACAGGAAGAAATGATGGGCCACAATTTAATTTCAGTCAAAGTTGATCTCATTGAAACTTAAACAAAACCTTAACAATGTAGAAGGTTTCCAGTCAGAAAACCATAACAACATTTCAACTGCACACTTTATAAAAAATTAAACAGGGCCAGTAAAGAAAGATTTGTAAAAAATTATTGTCAATCTTATATACTTCAAAGACAAAATACCTCTTTCAAAAAGGTTGCTGATGGTGTATCAATACATGTGTCCATGCTGTAGGCATAGCTACACTGGGTCAATGACACAAATCCAAGCTATCAGATTCAAGGAGCATGTGCAAAACAGCCCATCCAACAACTATGGAATTTACAATAATCTAAACAAAGGCCGTAGCAAGAAGCCAAACAGCAAACATTCAAAATAATAGTCAGCAATAGATGAATGGATGTTAAGGAAAAAGGAAGCGCTCCTAATTCAAAATATAAAACCAAAGCTGAACAACTAACTAACAACACCACTACATCTCAAACTGTGATAAAATTATCATGTCTGAGATGGGCAAAGAATGAAACCTTTGTTGACCAATCACATGTCAGTAACAGTCTCACAATAGATCATGCTTCAAAATATGTTAAACACCGTAATAAAGAGTACAGAGTTTGGCTTTATTAAATTTCATGATACTACAGTGATGGCATGATCTAAAGATACCAACATGTCTAGCTAAATCTTCACCAAAGAGGAAACATGACATGCCATTAAGAATTCAAAGATGTTTTCAACAACTGTGAGGTAGAGAAGGGATTTTTTTTTATTCTGTTTCAAATAATCTTTATTTCTTTTATATTACTTAATGCTTCAAAAAGTATTGATGATGTTGAAGAAATTAAGTTATGTATTTTGATTTTTGGCAATTCATTTACAATAAAAATGATATATGTTTTAACACAACTTTAATATGCTATTTTGACTTTTAACAAGGTCTATATGGAAATTTTTCTGAAAATGGTAATTAGATTACAAATAAGATCTAGTTTTCAAATTGTATTGCAGTATTAGTCAAAAATGGGTTTTAAACATAACAATCACTTTTAAGTTAAACATTGCTACTAAATTTCTAACTTGATTTCAAATATGACTTAATTTTTTTTTAATTATAATAAATAATTAAAAACATTTTATATTTACACAATAAAAACTTTATTGAAGCCGTACGTCTTGCATTTTAAAATAGAAATATCACTCTACATGTACATCTTTTAGTTTTAGCACAGTCTCAAAGTTTTATATCATTAAATATTAGAGAAACATTACATATAATGAAATATAAAATACAAAAACAAGTATTAAATATTCAAATAACAATGAAGTAATGCGACAAGGAGAAAGTATAAGATAGTCTTGTAAGTTACTTCTGAGGATGACGTAGATCACATCGAAACATGTACGTGTAAATAGATATTTCTATTTTAAAGTGGAAGCCGTACGGCTTCAATAAAGTTTTTATTGTGTAAATATAAAACGTTGTTTTTAATTATTTATTATAATTTAAAAAATTTAAACACAAGTGCCGGTAGTGCATATGACGTAATTTTATTTTAGCACTTACCTTCCAAATAAACTTCTCTGTTGAATAAACCTGCCGCTAGGGGAATGCTAGGTAAAACAAAGTTGAAATATTTTACTAACAACATAATATACATATATACTCACAAACACTACATATAATGCATTCTTTAAAAACTTTTCATGCGTACTGATTGTTTCCATCGAAATCTGTGAAAGCAAGAAAAAGTGAAGCATTTAGATGGGTTAAATATATGACATTATGTAGAATAAGTGGTTCAAAAGAACATGCTGTAAATCCATATGAATGGTGAGTTTCTGACACCTACATGCAGCATGTAGTTGGCTTATATATACATAATATCATGAAACAAACTTCATAACACTTTAAATGACAACTTTTATTTATGACTGTACATGGTAGTAAAAACCCACTAGCCTAATGCCTGGAACCATCAAAACCTGAGTCTGGCCTATCCTGAATTCCATATATACTACCATGGGTAGATATTAGCAAATTTCAACTCTGTATTTAATTATAAAAATTCTAACAGTTGTTTTTTTTCCTTTCAAATTGTTAAATATCTATTGTTACTGAAATGTTTGTAAGATTGGTAGTCTGTTTATCAATGATAAGCTAATCTATCTGATATACAAACACATGTAGATGACGTAACTACTAACTTGTGCATTAAAATGTCAAGTTCTTGAGTTTCATACTTAAAATATTTTCTACTCTATGTGATTTTTGTTGTTGTTAGGATTACAATAGTTATTTTCCAGTGTGAACAGCTGCATTTGGGAAAAATAACTGGAACCGTTCACTTGGAACTCTGCAACCTTTTTCCTAGGTAAGATAAAAATGGAGAGATATTCTGTACATCAGACCATTGTGTGTTAGTTTTAGTTTAATTGTATATGTAGGTTGCATAACCTTCCTGCAGATTATACATTTTTATATATATTCTGAATTAAATTATATCATACTGATTTATGTATATATATTTTATACAATACATTAATTTTTGGTTTTGTAATAGTATGGAAGTCATTACAATAAATGTAGATATGTACATTTCTGTAATATGTAATAATTTCATCACTATAGTAAAAAAAAAAATTGCTGGGCTAGTAGAATTTTAGGTAGGGCCTAGTACATTTGTCATGCCTACTAGTACATCACAAACATTTTTATACCTCTGCTGTAGAAAGTGAAGGATGAAAAAAACTTGAATGCTGAATCATAACCTCTGACCTTCCTTAAACTACATATGTGCTTCATCACAAGGCTTCCATGTTGCCTATGCAACCAGGAAGATGTAACTGATGAATTGAAAGTGTATTTTGTTACTTATTCTTTTTAATATATAATATTTTATATTAATAGATTGGTGATTTTGTTCATTGTCTATTCTTACAATGTCTTACTTTGAGGTTTTTTTCATGCCTATAGCTGATGATTCTTATTTTGTAATAGCTTCAGCTCAGTATAACTTTTACGCATCCAGAAGGCATACTGTTTCAGTTTATCTATATATTAGCACAACTATCTCCTAATATAAAAATATTTAGTGCTTATGATTTGATTTCGATTGCCTTATGATAAGTTTCCTGGTGGCTCGGCAATAAACTTGAGGATTTATAATGCTAACATTTTGCTGTTTGATCTGCATGGTGGACACAGAGAAAATATCCAAGTGCAGGTTAGCACTTAAAGCACAAACAAATTGCCTAGGTTGTTTCACATAAAAACATAACAAACAAATTGAAACCAGTGATTTAAATGGGAAGACAATTTTACCTAGGAACATACTATCAGAATTCAAATAGTATAAGGAACTATAAAAACATGAGGAAAAAATAAAAAGCTATTTTCAAGCAGTGTCAGAATAAACTAAAACATTGAAAAGAAAAATAGTAAACATCTACAACACAAGAAAATACTTACTTATCCCGTCCTGGCTTCACACAAACTTGAAATAATGCATATATAGGTTTATGGTCTGAAGTAGTGATGCTCTCTGCTATATCATACAACAAACAAGTTATGGTATTGTTCTTCTTATGTCGAAACAACACACGGTCCTAAAGTAGATCGGTTGAATATTATGTTATAAGCTACATTAAAATTAAGCCCTGTTAAAAATATTATTTAATACTTTAAAAAAAATAAGCAGCCTTTCATTTTGAGGGCATATATGTTTGTTACCTGCAATGGTGATTCAAAACTTATGAAGATATATAAAAAAAGTATAATTCTGTTGTGTCTTACCACTATACATAACCATTACAACTAAGTCAATAAAGCATTATTACTTGTTGCAAAAAAGCAGACACGTATTTATTTATTTGTTGTACCAAATTTCTTAATTAATATGTTATGAAACATTTAATGATTACAGATGGTCCAAAACACACTGAAAAAAACTATTGACACAAATTACTTCAAGAAATATCACAGCAATGTTGAGAAAAGTTATTAACTCTACAAATAGAGTCTCAACTTGTTATAATATTAAATATACTATAAATTTTAAGACTGAAAATGTAAAGAGCCATCTCATAATGATATAATATGTTAAAAATTCCATAATCTTTTTACTTTATCAATTACATAAATCAGTTAAGCATTATTACTATAGTGCAAATATCATGACCTGCTTATGTAAACATCACTAAATTTTTGCAGCTATTAGTTATCTAAATCCTTATTATTACAGAAGCTATGCTAGGTTCATGATGCCATGATCAAAATAAAACCAAATATAGTTACTTTACAAGTAACCATTGAAATGTTAAACATTTATTTCAATTTACTATGATGCCCATATTAAAATAAAATCTCAAAAGTTCTTACCACAACTATGTGCCTTTCATTAGAAAATTGGAATGGATTATTGCATATAAGCTAAGTTATTTAGAAACATAGACAATTTTGTTGTCTGTTTTAGAGAAAATTGTTTTTAGCTTTTCGAAGTTTTACAGGTAAGTCCAAAAAAAAAAGGTTGAAAACATTTCAGTAGATGTTTTGATAATATACATGACTCTGAAGAGTAAACCAATGAATAAGCATAATAACTAACTTGTTTCTCTGTAGGATTGAAACATCAAATTATATACAAAAAAAGAAGCATTACTGAAATACATCATTAAAGTCATAAATATTAGTCGTACTACCACGTGGTCCCCAAAAGTGTTCTGTTTAAAGATTAAATAAAACTAAAATTTGTTTCTTGCTTTTGAAGTTCATATGTCATGTGTTGTAGTCTATAGTGCACGACAGCACAAAATGCAATCTTAAGTATTCTTTATGTGATGTCATTTCAGTGTCTACTGACTAATTGACAGATAACACACTACTGTAAAGTGGTGTGAATGGTTAAAACAGATGACCCCTTCAGGTCGCCTTAGGCCCTCTTTTGGAGAAATAAATACATGCACACACATAAACAGATAAATACATACATGATTATAAGGGTAAAAGACATTTAGGATCACAAAGGTTGGTAAAAAACGTTAAAAACAACCCAATACAACCTATAACTTTATATAAATAAATACACATACTATAAACATTAGATACTGTTTGAATAACTTACAGTGTAAGAAGGTACACGTAGCTTCTTGGAGTCAAATAAGGAAGACCCAGTACTATACTTGTAAGAAGGCACAAACATTATTTCGGCTTCATGGAAGTCTCTGAAGGCAACACCTACAGAATTGTTACAAAATGAACAGAGCAAAAAAGATGAACCTTTGTTTTTGTATGCAAAAAATAAAGATGTTCAGATTCAATTAAAATTTTTATGTATGAGCAAATGTTACAAATACAGTTGTGTAAGTGATTAAATACTTTTCTGTTATATTTAGCAAACTTAGAAACATATATAATAACTGTAAAAATTAAGAAATTTCTGTATATTTAAATGCTTGTTCATCTCTTTCAAAACACCAACTAAACATGGTTTCAATGAGCCTCATTTTAGCCTTTTTTGAGAGATATTTCCAATTTATAAAACTATAAGACTCTCATTTGCTTAAAACATTGATCACTTGATTCTTCAATAAAAATAGCAAACAAATTTATTGATTATTAGCAGTGACTGAACTCAAAAATTATACTGATAACTGTATCCTAATTGTTTTTCATTTGACAACTGCAAGAATTATTAAATGACAACAGTATTTTAGGAGGATCTTTTAAATAATAAAGACATGAAATTTATAAATATAATGTTAATGGGGGGTTATTTAGTTTTGAATTATATTTGTGATGAAAATTTCCATCTATTTTGTGACAGCATCATGATTATGTAGTTTGTTTACAACAGAATAATTTTAGAATTCAGTAATAATGGAGTTCTGTAAAATAACTGAAACATTTATAACGACAACTTTCATAACTTTATTCGAATGGAATCATCTAAAAGAATCCTGGATAAAAATCCTATTTCAAGTTTAAACTGTTTTTTGCTTCTATGATGTGTATCTAATTACTAGTTATTTCCCTCCAAAGTTACAAAATCTACTCTTATTCTAGTAAATAAAATTATTATCTTAACCTTATATATCTGTAAACAAGTTTCATAAGCTGCTTGTTGTAAACTGATCATGTTTCTGACATTTACCATGAAAATTACAAAACAGTGTCGTCTATAAAAACTATAACTATAGAAATTAAAATATACCGTTGAATTATTCTTTAATAATAAATATGATAAAGTAAATCTATGACATCACTTGCTATAAACATGTATTAAGTGCTTCATTTTTTTTTGTTATAGCAAAAACAAAGTAATAAATTAACTTTTCAGGAAGAAAGTCACTTATAACTGGTATTTAGAAATAACTTGTGTTGAAGTTCAATTTTTCACCATTGGATATTATATTTAGCTTATTCTTTGATAGATTGTTTAGGCAGAGTATTCACGATGAGATTTGGTTGAATGGACGGCAACTGCCTATTGCAGAAACACAAATATAGAGGACGAAGTTTCAAAGAGAAGACGAAAGGCAGAAGACTTTTGGAACATCGTCCTCTATACTTGTGTTTCTACAACAGGCAGTTACCATCCATTCAACCAAATTTCATCATATATTTAGCTTGGTTAGGATTCTATTCAAAGTTTTTTGACATATGTTAAACTTTTTCTTTAAGATCAATAATGAATCTTTTGTTTGCATAGGTATAAATTAAAAGTTTAAGACATTTTTGCAGTTTCTCTTTGTCAAACCAAATATGACAAATTTTATTTTCAGACTTTTTTTTCCAAAAATAGTAATATTCATTAACATTAATTTTGCTTTTAGGTTTACTAGACTCATTCTTCCAATTTTTCACTATACATTTGATGGGATGAAACCTCAAAAACTGTTTTTCTCTGTTGCTAATTGAGATTAATCATTAACATTGATTGACAAGTTTTGTCCAGAAATACTTTAATTAATGATAGTTTACATCAGACCTACTTTTAACATTTTCCTAACCCACAGTTAAGATTAGTTTATGTTTATAATAGGCACAGTACCATGTAGTTAGAATTACATGATTCACTGAACTAAACGTCATCCCAGAACTTGTTTGTTTATGCCAACAAAATGTGGAACATCAAAATGTTTTTGTTTTGTGGAATACACTGAAAGAATTAACAAATCTGTCAGAGAGAGTCTGTAGTACTCTACAGTTGTTCACAGAATAAGTATTCTAGTTTTCTTTATATATTTTATATAATGACATGTACCTTTACCCATAGCCTTCTTTAGCTGATCATGATTCAACAACGTTTTACACGAGACTGTGTTCTTTATACTGCGTTCTTCTAATAATTTGATAATAAAGTCTCGTTTCTGGGTCAATCGAAAGTTTAGATCTCCACACCAAAACACACTGTCAAACCTTGCTGTGACATCTAGTTTATAAAGCAAAAAATGTATCATTAGATACAAGTTATCTTACTTTAGCCTAAAACCAATCTAAACCAATATCAATAGTTCTTGAAAGACACCAAAAAATTCCAGGTAGAAATTCATCAGTAAAGACAGCAAAAACGTATTTAAATAAGAACACCTATTTTCATTATAATAAATATAAAAGGTTTATTGCAACATTTTTTGTATAATCAAATTTAATAAACCAAGAAATACTAAGGACAATTATTTTTCTTAACCTTTGAACAAAACACTATAAAAATTATTGATTCAGGTATTTTCTTTGACAAAATAAATATTTTCCTGGTTTTAATATTGTAAATTAATGAATTGTAGGGTTTGTTATAAAAAACCTATGATAATCAAAGTCGCATTATTAGGGCTACCTGTGGAAATTTAAATAAAGTCTTTAAAAGTCACAATTAAATGAAGAATTGACATTAAAACTGAGAAAATGAAATGAAGTGTGCTTTATTTAAAGACTTGTTAGATAGTAATTGATTGAATCCTAGTTATTCCTTGAAGTAAGGCAGATTTATTTTTGCAGTTTTATGTATATAACTAGCTATGAATAATGATAAAAAAAACAGGTGGAAATACACATTTCATTTTATTTTAATATAAGGAACTTTTATGTGACTCACATGTACAACCACTACATTATTTACAAATGAAGACAGTCTCTTGGCCAAAAGATACTGTGCTCAAATAGACAAATTAAGATAAATAAATCTATTGTACTTATGATTCTTACTTCATTTATGTTTAAGAATTTATCAAAGTTTTACAGTGATTGTTAGAAGCTTTTCTTAATGTCTTAAGATTCCATTCACCTTTGCTCTGATACTGGGATTTTAAGGGTAGATTCCTTGGGAGGTCCAACATCAGGCAGATTTTTTCATAGTCTGATAGTCGCTCTTTTATTTTTTTCTCATGTGCTAAAATTACAAAATAAATGATAATACTTGAAATACGAAACATTCTGATAATTTTGTTTAAGCATTATAAAAGTGTGTTTATGGATATTAAGTTTTCAATTTCATTCTAGCACTTTGTCTTCACATTTTGGTTTTGGACATCTTATTCTTTAATGTAGTAGCTCATATTAATCACAACACCTATAAAAGTGTAATTCTCTTGCTACATCACATCCTCTAGTGGAAGACTTTTTTGTTGTCAATCCGGCTGGTTGAAGCTAATAAAGCTACTAAATACACATTTGTTAAATTCAAATGTTGTTAAGAATGCATTGCTTTTACTTTATAAAATACATATATATTAATAGTCACAAAATTAACACTGCTCATAAAATTGTAATTAATGAAATGTTCAATTTCTGTTATTTTAGAATTAAGTTTAGCCTCTAAAGCTACTGTAATGAAAGCTGATGGCACAGTTGGAGCAGGGTGAGATTCTGTTATATTGTGATTTTTATATTTCTGAACCATTCAACTCCAGCCTAAACAGGTATGTAATAAGAAACATATAACCAAATAAATAAGTGGAAAAGTTTGCCTGATGTAATTTTTATTTTTACATCAACATTTTCACCTTTACATTAAATGACATGATAAATGTTTGAAACTCTTATTATGCACATGTGTGGAATTAAAGACACAGAGTAAACTGTTAAACCTTTGTATCAGAAGAATTACTGAAAAATAAAAACTGTATAATTATTCATTATTCATAAACAATACATATAAACATTTTCTGTATGTTATAATAGATAATAAACTAATGCCATAAGTTTCAAGTTTTTTGACCTCTTAATCCCATCTCATTTATACTTTGTATGAAGGTTTTTATTTAGCATCTGAAACTAAACCAAATTTAAAACAGTTAAAATATAAATCAATGATATAATGTTGCATCCAATTTTCTTCCATAACTTCAGTTTAGAAGTAATTCACTTGTATACTCTTTATTTAATGAAAGACAAACAAAAAAGAAAAAATGCATCACAATTAGAGACTGGTTTCATATTTTTTCGTAGCAGGTCATGTATTACAGTGAGTTTTTCTCTTACATAGGTATGACCTCATTCAACCAAATAAAAAAGAATTGATGTCATTTACTAATACAGATGGTTTATATATATATATATATACACACACACACACATAAACCCCTTCTTAAACTACAGTAAAGCACACCTGTTAGATGTGAGTTGATAAACAGTAGAGAAGTCCCAAAAAACATGAATGATACAGCAACTGCTCCCTTAGTTTTGACTGCAGAGCCAGGCCTGGTGCTGTATGTTGCATCTTCTGGATCTGTAGGATAACATCAAGATAATATCTTAAAAGTAAGTGTGTTTATGTATGACATTAGATGAATATAAATCACTCATGTAGGAATATCACATAAATTTAATCAACTTGAAATGTACCAACAGACTTGTATACACAAAGTATTAAACAGTTAACACAGATGTATATATTAATGGAACTACTTATATGCATAAAATAACATTTTGTTTTTTGAAGGAATATAAGCATGTGGTTATTAGATAGTGAACAAATATGTTAATTTCTTTTGCATCATTCAAAACAAACCTGTATAAAGTTAGCACATACATGTCCACCTTTCTACATGATATTTGTAAAAAAGATAGAAGTATAACATTGACACTTCTTTTATAATTTTATTGTTTCAATACTTACATCACTAACCATACCATATAAAACACTTGCAACTTAAACTCAAACTTTATAAAAGATGTTTCTAAACTAGTGCATGATGTAATCATCATGTGACATTTGGCTTCAAGAATAACTAAATGTGGCAAATGGAATCCTCAAGCTGAGAAGATGGCAATGTGATCAACAGAAAATTGAAGAAAAATATTTGGATTCATCCACACACTGTCCTGTTAGATGTTGTCTAAAAAATACTGAGATCCTGGAAACCAAAGCATTTCCAAGTACTGAATTTAATTAGATGTAACTTGAAATTCAATCTGTAGTTGTCCAGGTACAGCTCCATGAACAAAACGAATCAGCTGCATAAGCCAAATTTCATCAGTAGTTTATAAATTTAGGCAGAATTTTTACCCTTGCTACATCATTACTGAGTGTTAGTTTATATTGACAATTCTCTAGTGGTGATGAATATCATCAATCCAGGAGTTACTTGATCTCATAGGCATTTTTCTGTGATCCCTCTTCATCTCTGGCTCCATTCATATTATATATTTTTAAGTCTCTTTATGTGTCAGATATTATGAACATTTTTATATATTCTCTTTCTAGAAATAATCAGCTTCTCCCAGTAAAGTGGAATCTTTACCCTTTAGTTTTTCAACAGTTGTGCCAACGGCTTAGTTGTCCCATGAACATTGCATTTGGAACTGTAGACACACATGTGCTTCTGCTTTACTGGTCCATAGCTTCAGATTCTACTTCTTTAACAAAGGATGCTTTGAGCCAGTATTGGGAAAATGTTTTCTTTATGTCTACCCTCATTTTCATGTTCTTTCTCAGGTATTGGCCAAAAGTCAATTCATTCAATTGTCAAATTCTGCTTATTACTCTATATTGACAAAATCAATCATAGTTTCCATTACTATTTTGTCTATCTAAAGAAGATCTCATTCCATTACCTTTTATGAGACATCTTCCCTGGTAATGTACTAGTCTTGTTGGGCTATTTTTAGGAGACAGTCAGTGCCTTAGAAATTCTGTTTCTCCAACTTCTTCACAGATTGCTTCACTTTTTGTATTCTTATTTCATGATCATGAATTGTCTGCTTCTTATATTGCAGGCTACAGATCTGCCCTCTCTACCACTTTTAAATACCACAGAATTCATTTTCCTCTCTTGTACCCATTTTTTCTTGTTCTTTTTCGAACCTTTCACTCACTTCTTTCTGCATACCTAAACACTGCCCTTAGTGGGACTTAATTCTTATTTTATAATGTCTTGCTTCACCTCCTTTTGAACTTTTAGTTAGTTGTTTGTTCTTCCATCTTTCATTGAATTTTTTCTTTTTATTACTTGTTTCAGGAAAGAAAAGATTGGCATTTATGCCCTAGCTCTTCTTACCAAAGACTTGGGCTGTAAGAGAAGGTAATCACTGCTTCTCACCATTTGTGTTACGTATTATGACTGGCTCAGATTTTTATTCCAAAGAATATTTTATTTGTCTTTCAGGGCCATTTATTGATATGTTGCATGAATTGAATCTTTCAGAGAAGCTTGAAATAGGTTGTTTAGACCTCAAAACAAATCTCACACCAAGGATCTTGCTCTATCCAAATCAATGAAATCAAAATCCAGAGGTGACTAGGAACCTGAAAGATATTCCCCCAAGACAGCACCTAGCCCTTCAGAGCCACCTGTGAAGAGATGCAGAACTGTATGAGGTGGAAGTAAAGGGGAACCTGCATATGTAAACTCTTGACTGAGCTAAAAACGTAGGTAATCAAGAGTAGCAGGAGAAAGGGAAATTCTTTGAGATAATGTATCTAAAGATAGATGCCACATAGAAGTAAGGTCCCATTAGAGGTGTCTCATGGAAGTGTATCTTGAGGGAATAACTTTATCCCTAAAGCAGAAAGGATGTTTTTAGTAGTGGGTGCAGAAGACATTACATATACAAGAGTACAAGGCTTACAGTACCACAGCAGATAGCAAAATGTATCTTGAACTGTGTTGATCCAAAACCCCACATGTACCAAATACTAGACTGGTACTCTAAGTAAGAAGTGAAGTTATGGAGAAACCATAGAAAAAAACATAGCCAGCTAGGTTTTCAACTAAGAGTGAGAAAGATTAAATGGATGAAAGGATCAGAATGAGCCAATTTTCCATGTAAAAGTAAAAACTGATGTTGAGAGTATTGAAAAGACCAGCAAAAACTAGACAACTTGACAGAAAATGCATGGAGCAGAAGCAAAGCCACAGGGAAGAAAAAGGGAACAGATTAAACTACCTATTGAAAAAAAGAAAAAAATGAAGGGATGACAGATAAACATAATTGCTCTCCAATGGCCATGATGAAAAAAATCTTCCAAAATGACCTCATGATTCACATATTAAAATGAGATGAGTTGAGACAGATCTATGACAGTCTTCAGTTTCCTTACATCTTCAAAAACTACAAAAAGATGAAAGGAAGAGTTGAACAAGTGTGATAAAAAATTTTGACTGCTTCTTTCAGAAGGACATTTGAAACTTCCTGATCCAAAATTTGTAAGTAACTGGAAAGGAAGGAAGAAAGAAAGACATGTGAGTAATGAACCAATAATTACAATGTGCCACAATTTAAACAGAACTGCAAACATCTGCAATTATCTGAGATGACCTCAAACAGTCCCAACAAAATATTCTTCTGGAACAAAAATAATCAATGACTGAGTCAAATAGACCCACTTTATGTATGTCTACTTCTGGATGCCAAGGAGGGTCAAAAGGAGTGAGAAGTAGTATTGACACCAATCAAGATGTAGATAAGGAAGACAAAGCAAGAGGATAAACACTACTTGGTCATTATTTTGAATGGATTGAATATCAGGAAGTAGTCCAATGCTAGAACCCCAATCAACTACTGCTGGTATTGGTATGCTTCTCCTAAATGGGAGACTAGTGCAGGTGAAATCCTACTAAGACAAACAATGCAGAGAAGAAGTTCTTTTAAGTTTCAAAGTCAACTGATAAGTGAGGGGCAAGTACCTTGTGACAAAGCATGATGGGCCAAAGTGTCAAAGGAACATAACAGTCATGAGGTAATAAAAACTATATGGATCACAACAAAAGAACACTGATAGATAATCATTCTGTTTTTATTTTCATCCTAATTAAAAGAATCAAGAGAACTAATAAGAAGAGCTAATAGCTAATAAATATTCTGAAGAAGAAAGTCTCAAAATAAGACAAATCGAAGCATGTAGGTTAGAAAACTGACAACAGATCAGGTAGAAGACCACATGGAAGACCCACACACACATACAAAAAGAAAAACAATCTGAAGTTCAAGAACTAGACAAATAAGAAAATGTGAGGATGGTGATTATGATAAAAGGAAAGTAATAATTAGCTTATTTCTAAAAATAACAGCAATGTCTCAAACACAGGACAGGTGGAAAATATATAGATTCCAGAACTGAATTATCCAACACGATATTAGCAAAACATAACAGAAATAAGACCACAATAAGCTGTCAGGGTTTTATGTATATGAGCTGGGCTGAAGATTCTTTTACAGTAGGTGTTTGTGACTTGTTGGTGATAAATTCAAACAATAATTGGACAGCACACAATCCACTTGTTTTACAATAATATATTCAAAACAAGTCAAATGTATGTACAAAAATTCTTTAAACTATAGGATATCACAGTTGTATCTAAAGCTCTAAATAATTCTCTTTTCTTGTCTTTTTTTTGTCAAAGTCCACACACACACATACTGATTCAATTACTTTAGAATCCAATTGACAAAATGAATTATTTTACTCTACTCTTATCACAATATTGTCAGTGAATAATTCACTTATGCTACCATGGGTTAACACAGTTTTATCCTTAACTTCAAATAATTGTCCCCTTTTCATGAAATTCCACACAGACTGGTTCAATTACTTTAGAACACCTTTTGACAAGACAAACTATTCTCTTTATCTCTATTACACTGTGAAACTCACTATAAAATATCACCCATTCTGACTAATCACTCACATGCTGGCTAACTTCATGTTTTCTCTCGTTAACTAATTTTCTGACTGAACTGCACTTGACTTGCACTCACTTGGTCACCTATATTTATATGTTATTCACTCAGGCCTTAAACTTTCTCTAAACTATACGACACAATGACTTAACAATACTCAGTTAAGGTAACAAGAAAAATATCAAAGATTCGAGTAACGTGATGTCAACAATATTAGTAAAGCCTAGACAACAATGTAATTGCAAACACAATGTACAATTCGTACAGAGTTATATAACGAAATTTGTCAAAACTAGCTTTTTAAAACAATCTATCTTCAACACTCCTGTCTTAAAACTAAGCAATCATTAAATATTAAGTCACAAAATAAACTAAATAATAACACACTAAACAGTCTTGTATATCTAACAGAAGCATGTTTAGATTTAGGGCTAGCTGACAAAAATCCTGTTCTACAGTCATATTTTTTTTATATTGACAAAAGCAAAGATGTTTACCCATTAAACAACCATAGGAATGTGGAAATCCACCAGGAACACCAGCAGGTATTATGGAAGTACCACCCTGAATACGTTCATCAAAGGACTTACAACATTGTCATGGGATCTCCCTGTATGCTAGAAGCAGATTATGTGAATAAGTCCTCAAAAATAGTTTTAAAGTTTCTTATATTGGTAGAAACATTTGTGATGTCAGAATTCAAAGTGAATGAAGTTAGCAGCACAACCTAGGAAAGCAGAGCTTATGTAATATCTCCTAATGCTCTTGGGTTTGAAAAGGTTAATGGCAAAGATGATGGATGATTTCATCCTAACAAAGATACAATAGTAAAAATTAGTTTCCCCCACCCCCCCAAAAAAACTGAACCCAGAACTTTTACCATGCTAGACCCAGTGCTTTATCGCCTGATTAACCCAAGTTCAACATGAAAATACTCATTCACCCTCATCATTATAATTTTCATCAAGAGTATACCTGACATAGTTAACTATCAGTTTTTTTCAAATAATATACATATACAAATGAAGCTAATATATTTGCTTAAACAAAAACATTGGTAAAACTTACCAGAACAGAACCAGATGAGATCCCTTCGAAGAAATATAGATAGGTATAACACACCTAGACCAACAGAATGGAAGAGAACATGTGAGGGACCCAAAGTTGTCTGCAAAGTGATCTCCCACTCCTTCCTGGGAAAAATAGAAACAATTACACTGATCCTTATTTTCACTTTTTTTTTATTTCAACACTGAATAGTACCTTTTAATGTTATTAAGAGAGATACAGTTCTTAATTTATATAATAAATATGTTGTAACGTACAGTTAGTTATTTTATTCTGACACAGAAACAATTTGTATAAAATATTTCTTTCCCAGGAAAATATGATTTTTAAGATTCATAACAGGACATCCATGGTTTAATGACCAACTACAAAATACATGTATATTTTAAAGTATTAATTAAATAAAAAATTTTAACATACAAACTGTAATCTAAGATATTTCTCACTCAGAAAAGATCAATTTATTAACAACTTAATATTTATGAAAATACTTAGTTAAAGTCATGGGTACAAGCCCACTGAAGCTATCAAAAAAGTTAAGATCTTTCCAACTCCTCATTTTCTAGCTCTTGCAGTTTTCCATAATGTCTCAAAAATAACTTATTTTTTCAGCTTTACCTCATGGCTTTAAGAAATGGTAAAAGGTTACTTGTGATATGCAGGCATATCATATATTTTCTACCTGTTTTAGTGATATAGAGATATTTTCAACATTGTTATGTTTCTGTGCTGTAATGGCAGTAACACATGGTCCAGAAAATCATTAAGATAACCTTATCCTAATGCTTCATTTCTGTTTTATCTATAATATGTAATGTCTCTTCTGCCCAAGAGGAAATTACAGTAATATATAGTATCCAAAATAAAAAGATTGGCACTGTAATATCACTTGCTACCCAATTATGATTTCATCTAAACATAACAGCCAACCAATGATGTGAGGGAATAAAGGTCAAGAAGTGACACTGTTGACTGGTAAACAAAAGTGAGTTTACTTGTTAAATTCAGGTATGTTTTCTTTAGATAGTTTCTAATAGATCATCATCAAGTGAAAACTACTTTTAAGAGCAACATGTTTTAGTTATACAGAGAATAATTCTAAGGGGGGAGAAAATTTTGAGCTAAAACAGCATACTAGAACACAGTAGACTATCATTTTGTTTATATAGGTATGCATGCTGTGTTTTCCATTTATTTGTTCTAATAATAATAATTTTGTTCATTTATTCACACTGATCCACACTTATTTTACAGTTAAAAGAACTCAGTTAAATTATATATGTTACAAAATAATCCCTTTATTTTTCAATCAAATCTGCTGTTATTTGTGGGTTTTATTATCTGATATTTGTCAGGAAATTGGCTTTACATGAAAAATACCACATGCTTGTTATTATACAACGTAAGAGGGTTGAACTAAAATGATTTTAATTATAATTATTTTATGGCAGTTGTGGTAAAAATGGTAAATGCAGCAAAATGTTTTCTTTTTTTGTGAAATATTTGTTTTGAGGCTAAATATCAGTCTCTTTATCAGATTTAAACATAACTCTGAATTAATGGAAACAAAAAGAAAAAAAGTAATTACAATGAGCACAGAAGAATTCTGAACTAGCCGGTGAGCAGTTCTTATCTTGTATGTTGTTTTATTAAATTTCTTGTACTACTGTGCAATAGGTCTCACCACCTGTGGTATACAACAGACAAAATGCAATTAAATTATTTTGCTATCTTTCTTTCTCTCTTTTTTTATAATGTCAAACAATTCCCAGGGATTTAAGACAGAAATATTTTAAAATATCATCAGTCTTATTCTAATTTTTGTTACATAAGTTAGCCTAAAAAAATATTTTACTAGCTTCTGCTTCACACATCGTATAGTTTAAAGATCATAAACATACCTATCCTGAACTCCTTCTTGAACCCCAACAGCATAGATATCTGGCAGATGATTAACCCCTAGTGGGAGTAGGAAATCATCTAGATTCTTTGGTGGAAGCTGTGAAATAAAAACAATAGAGAAAGATAGAAAATAAATATTCGAAATGCAATAAGACACTTTCTTAACAATGGCAATAGATACAGTGAGGGTTAAAGTTATGCAAGGTAGTACAATAAAACTACTTTACAAACTCACACAAGGGTAGGACCTTGAACAAATAGTCAACATACACAATAAAACTACTTTACAAACTCGCACAAGGGTAGGACCTTGAACAAATAGTCAACATACACAATAAAACTACTTTACAAACTCACACAAGGGTGGGACCTTGAACAAATATTCAACATACAAAGTAAAACTACTTTAAAAACTTAGACCATACCAATAAAGGGAGAAGGAGATTTGGCCCTGGAGAAAGGGAAATCCCAGGGAATGTGGAGTAGAAGACAAAAACCATGAAAGTGAAAAGTATGAGCTAAGTAGCAATGAATGGCACAAACAGGACAGAAAAGCCTGTCTGGGTCCAAACGAGCATAGAAGAGTGAAACAGAAGGATGGGAGAGGAGAATGGTAGAGGTCTCCTTTACAACCAGCTGAAGACTAAGGAAGGAAGGACTGTTCTGGAGAAATAAGAATATGAAGACAATGGAATGTGTACGAAAGGAGTCACTCGCATAAAGATTTGAACAATGGCAACCACAAGCAAGAGGAATACATTGGAAGAGTAGGTGGTTGAAGTTGCAGGTTGCCAACAGTTCAAATGGGCAGATAAGAGCATGCAGGATTACAATGAGGTCACGGTTGGGCACAGGAACAGAGTGAGTGTGTCTATGGATAAGGAAGGACTGGAACAAGGTGGAGAAAACACTTTGCGGTGTTGAGTAGGCAAAATGGTGAAAACAACTCCGCCCAATAACCATCAAAGGCAGATACAGCTGAACCCTGTAGAACAGCCTGGTAAAGGGAAGGGAGAAGTATGACAGTGTAATGATTAGGAGGTAGGTGGCAATGGATGGACCAACATCAAAAGCCACACCTCATATGCAGGTAGAAGGACCAAGTAGAATGATGCCAGGATTGGGAAATAAAAGGATAACCACATGAGAGTCTGATTCATTGGACCAGACTAAATTCAAACATGAATGTGGAAGGGCAAGATCCCGTGGTAGAAATGATATAGGAGATGTTGAAGCAATAGTGTATAATTGGCAGGGAAAGAGGGGTTGGGTTGTCAGGTGGCATAGAAGAGGGAACTATGTTTAAGCCAACCAGAAGGGCACCACAAGAGGAAACAACAAAGGGTATCTTCAGTCAAGGCCAGTACCCAAGGTAAAGGCTCAAAAGATGGGTTAGCATTAGGACAAGTATAAGATCAAACTAGGTGGAAAGCAGTCTATCAGAAGTTCAAGCATGTGAATATGGAGAGAGGGCTAGTCTAAAGTCCATTTGCCAAATGTAAAATTGGCATTCAGAGATGCTCCCCAAAAAGAGGGGGAAGCTTAGGTGAAAATGTGTATTACCAGTGTGTGTGTGTAAGTAATGGAACACAGAGGGTGATATTGGATTGATCCAACCATTCATACAAATACTAGAATGGAGGAAGGGACAGAAGTACCAATAAGGTCAGATAATCCCATAAGGCATACCTCTGGTCATGCAAGGACTCACAGCTGAGGTACATAAGTATGTGACCCAAAGAGATAAGCAGTCCCCATGAAGCTATGGTCACCAAACATTAAACCTCACATGCAGAATGAGTAGGATAAGTGTGAATCTCAGTCTTGAAGAGATGTTAGATATAGACTAGAGCAGAAGGAGAAAGGAAACAATATGGGAGCAAGGAATAGATAGAAGTGGTGGCAAACACAGTCTTGAAGAGATATTAGACATAGACTGGAGCAGAAGGAGTAAGGAAACAAGGTGAGGGCAAGTAGGGGGAGGGTATGGGAGAGAAAGTCTATGGGTAAAAAATTTGAAAAACCATTGTGACCACAGGAGCTCAAACTATGACAGCTGGGCACTCACAGGGCCTGACACAATGGAAAAGGTATCAGCAAGGCGAATGAGTCTGACAATGGGTACAAAAGGAAGTTTGCAGTCAAAAGACAGGGAACCAGGGACTAAGATGAGGTAAAAAAAGTGGTGGTATGGTTGGGGACAGTGTATAAACAATGCACAAAAGTGAGGATTGATGATGAGCAGCCTCAGCCCATGATAGAATCATTTCAAGAACATTATCAAACTTTAAAGCAAAGAAAGGGGCTAGGTGAAGGGATTGAAGAAGTGAAGAAAGAAGTCGACCTTGAGATAGAAGAGTATCCCTACCTAGCAACTCCAAGGAATAAGGAGGTAAGTGAGAAAGGAATGGTAGAAGTGGAATGGACACAGTGAAGAAATGAAGGGAATAAGAATCACCCACAACTTTCAGTGGGGTAGTGTGTAGTGCCTCAGACTGGAGGTGTAAAGAGAAGAGGTAAAGAAGTGTGGTAAAAAAGGATCAGGTAAGGACAGGAGTAGTGGGTTCTGGATGGCAAAACTGATGCCAATAGCCCTTCACTTCCCCCCCTCCCCCAAGTAAGGGCAATTCCAAACGTAAAAATCATGAAGAAGGTTGGAGAAAGATCAAAACTGAGGAAATAAGAAGCAGATAGATAGAAAGGGTAAGGCTTGATGTCATGGAAAAGTAAGTTGTCCAGGAATGATAAACTAAGTGAGTTAGGGTTAGGATTGAGAAGTAGGAACAAGAAAAAAATATAACACAGGGGAAATAAAAAGAATGATGCATACCTGATAAATCAAAGCAGAAGAATGCAAGAAAGTTGAAGTTTCTCTTTCACAGGGAGAGAAGTTCCCAAAGCCTAAGCAAGTGAAGCAACAATCAAATTTGTCCTCCTCATTCACTCCACAAACTAGGAGAAAGAATGCTTCAAGAAAGGACTGAAATTGAAGTTCCTGGCAGCATAATGGAACCCACTACCCTATTCATAATGGCTGCCACATCATCCCAGGAAATGTCTCCATAAGCCATAATTGTTACACAACCTGCATAAGGAAATTATCCCCTCACATAAATAGTATAAGACATTACATGAACAAATGTTCATAGTTTGAGTAATACAAGAAGGAAATTAACATTCCAAATCTCATTAAATTGATAAAGAAAAACATATCTGCAGTGTTCAATACCAAGAAAAGAGTGAGGATCATGAGTGCAAAATCATAGGAGCTAGTGTGATTTTGTACTCATGATCTTCACTCTATTGGTGGATGGCTTTTGCTGCAGAATAGCATCATACTAGCACAAATCAAGAGAAATCTCATGAGTTTAGGTGGGAGTTGCATGAAAGCTAGTGGCATGCAAATCTCTAAGGCAGATGCATGTAGAAGATACCTTTCTGTGTGGTGTGTATCACCTCAGAAGTACAGCATTTTGACTAAAAGGACCTATGGATATAAAGTAATTTGTCCATAAATTAAACAGCATTGGATACTTATTGTCCAATCCATGGTATAGGAGGGTCCCATCCATCTTCACCTTAAGCCCAGGAAGCAGAATGGAAAGGAAACTTCCATTTCAACAACTCAGGCAGGGCATGTATGCAGACCCAGTACACAATCAATACCCTGCCACCTGGGAACCCAACATCCAGGCAATGGTGGGAAGGGGAGATGCAAACATAGTGGGTCAACTCCAGTCTGGAACCAGGCAGTGTCGGAAATTTTTTGTCCAGACCACCTAAGAATTATTATTCAGGCAGCAGTAGGATGGGGAACTACAGATGGTGAATTCGTTCAGTACAAAACCAAGCAACATCTGGAATTTGTCTATCCATCTGCAGTAGGAGGACAGTATTCACCATCTACACCAATGTTCTACTCTTCACTGAGTGGAAGTGGTCACACTCAGGAGGAAGCCTCCATAGTCCATCACCCCAGTGCCTAGGAACTAGCAAGTGGCAAGAACTACCATACTCCACTGACAGAAGGGGAAACAACGTGGTAGAGAATCCAGAGGAACACAACACCATAAGACAGTGCAATGGGTGATCACAAAACCCCATTTTGAAAAGCAGACCAGTCCCAGTTTATTCAACTAGGATCAGAGGGATGGACAGTGATCTCAACACTGCTTTACTCATATACATGAGTTGGTATGGTCTGGTACAGGCCTTATTTATCAAGCAGGATACTGTGAGGAACCTTCTAGTGGTCTTGTGGAATACCCAATCTTATCAGTGAGTGTTATAGACCTGTAAGGTCATATAGTGCACATGTAAAGTTAAGTGTACCTGGACAGACACCACTTGCTGCTGAGCAGGATCCAGAAGTGTAGAAATATGCTACTGTAAACGTAAGCTGCATAAAAAGAGAACACACCCATTCTGAGCCAGTAAGGAGTTTCTAGAATGATGAGAAGAGAACATCAATATCTGAAAGAAGAAGAGATGGCCAGAAAATGAAGAAAATGTACTACAAATGTAAGTGGGGTAGTCCACCAACCAGTTTGCACAAACTCCTCCAATGGATTATGGAAGTGAAGAACCAGAGAGAGTAATGTGTCATATTTGGTGAGGAGACTCAAAAGAGTCGATGTGAATCTAGATGAAGCATTGCCTAAATCTATGTGGTGTTGTTGCAATCCTTTGAGAAATGGAAGGAAAAAATATGGGAAGCAGCAATAGCATACACATCATATCTCCCACAGCCACAAAAGACTAAAGGGTCAAAGAGAGGAATGGTAATGGCATGGAGAACAGTATTCAGGTCCAAATCTTAAAGGACTACAAGACATAGAGGAGGAAGGTGGGAAAACTAACAAAATGTGTAGAAAAGATAGAATAAAAGAGTACATGACAAAATAAAAAAACGTAAAAGTATTAGGTAGAGTTGCCCAGTAACCAGCCATGGTCGAAAGCGATAAGCCTTGCTTCAACAGCCAAAAAAAGAATTCGGAAAAATGGGGATAGAAGGAGAGGGAATGGAAGAAAAAAGTATGCAGGGATCAACAATGGAATATGTGCCCTTGTAGTGGAGAAGAAGAATAAGCTGAACAAGAAAGATGGAAGGCTACAAGTAACGAGTCTGGAATGTCTCACAAGCAATCAGACCAAACCCACACATGAAGTCTTAGTGACAACATTGCTAGATAGGAGAGAGAGGAAGGAGTGAGGTTGAAGGAGTAGGGAGAGTGACAGACGTACAGGAAGAGGAGAAGGGGAACAGGAAAAGATGTAACAGAGGAAACCATGGCTGAGCTGGCCAGTAAGGAGTTATAAGGAGGACTCAACATGGAGTGTGCAGAGTGAGAGAAAACATGAGAGAGAAGATAAGTAGGAGGGTAGGCATGGAGAAAAAGTTGAAGCTGTTCTGATGTATCCCCCCAGCTAAAGTTGAGAGAAGAGGAACAAAAGACCAGAGAATGGGAAAGTAGAATGTTGAGAAAAGTGTCCGGATGAGATCACATCAATATGAAGGCCAGAAGAACAAGAAACCAATCCATAGGAGATATTTTGGCAGATCTCGAGAGATGATCCACAACAAGATTCAGAACACTAAGAATAGAACAAACTATTAGATGTACTTGTATAGAATGGGCCCCAATAAAGGTCATCAATAGTGTGAAAACAGGGAGAGTGAAATGAAGTGTTCCCCTGGTGAATGAAAAATGAGACAACTGCAGAGTTGACAGTATGTATCAGTATATGTACAAACCATCTTAATCCAAAATTCGATGTACCACCAAAAGTTCTAAGAGATGGATTTGAAGGGACAATATGTTATAATAACAATATCCCAAATTTACATGAGTCCTCCACCTCGTCAAGGTGGCATCTGAAAACAGAAGCAGACCCAAATAAGAAGATGAGGAATACCTACTAAGGTAGTAGTTTTATCAAGTTACCAGGTGAAGACTTTGAGTAAGGAAGGAGAATGGTTGAGAACAAGGGATCCCAAACAAAGATCCAGATAATGTGCAGTCCATTGTAGACGTCACAAATGAACATGACTCATGATGGTACAAGATTCCATGGACGCCCTAGTCCCCAAAAGTGAGAGAACCCCCCAGCACAGTGAGAGAAGAACAAGATATGGCATGGAAAACTAATCGTTCCATGTCCCTCAAAAGAAGAATAGAAGGTTGGGCCCTGCAGATATATGAACGAAAAAACACCCAAATGAATAAGAAACAAAATGGGTGTGAGATGTGACTTCTCCAATATGAATCAACCGACCCAGATGCACTGTCTTTCAAAGAAGAAAAAGAAGGTGGCTGTACGGGGGCTTGTTGGGACAGAGCCAAATGAGAAAAGAAGCATCCAAGATGTCCATCTTAGTTATCCCAAGACCTGGGGTGAAAGACCATCATAGGTTGAGAAATTACCCATGGGAAAGTGGGGGAAGATGAGAAACTGAGACGTGAAAGACATAAGACTGGACATCTATCTACAGATTCCCTGGGAACCACGAAAAGATGGGAAAAAAACCTGAAAAGTGATGAGAAACCTATCCATTAGCAATTGTAGCCATTAGGACCAACAATGCCATGGACCAATGTTAGCAAGAAACAAGATCCCTTGAAGGATGCAGAATAATGGGAACAGGAGACACTGGAGGAAGAGAGGAAAAAACGAAAGTTAAAGCTCTCTTACAGAAATTTCAGTACTTAACAATTGGCTGCAAATGGAGGGCAAAGGTCCATAATACCCAATAGAAACAGGCTCTACTGACTCTGAGCCTATAGGATAGTCACCACCAAGACTGACAGTGCCAAAGAGAAGTGGAAGGACGGATGGGAAGTAGTGTCAGAGAGAGTAGGGGCAGCAGGTAGGCAGGAGACAGAGAGAGGCAAAAAAGAAGCACGGGAGAGATTATACACCAGTGAGGATAAGGCATAACATTGGCATGTGGCTCCAATCTATGACACCAGAGAAATAAGCATATCAGTAAAATCATACAGTCAGGTGAAAGGAGGCAAAAGCAAATGAACAACAAGGGCATCACACCCCAAACAACTCTAGCAAAAGATCTACCAAATAAGAAGTGAAAATTCCAAGAAAGATAAACATACCACTGTAGGAAAGATAAGTGAATGAGCATCCATCAAAAACCCTACAAAGAAATGAAGGATTACCATGGAAAAAAGGTTATACAAGGCTCTTCCCATCTACCTTTGCCTAATCTTACATCCATATTGTCTTGATTCTACCTCAGCATTTTTTCGTTATTTCGTAAGTAGGTTTCGTATGTATGTTTTTTACATATTCAGTTATTTTTACTACTACTTTGAGGTATTCATGCCTCATCCTCCTTCCTTTGTTATCTCCTATATCTAGACATGTCTTTGTGCTGTATTGCTTTTTTTTACTCCTAGATTCTGGAGTATTTTCTTCAGATTCGGGGATCAGATCCTTTGTCTTTCTTAGGCTTAGGTTTTCTTACCTTTGTCTTACACATGCTACCTTTTTCCATTATTTTTATAGGCAAAATCTCTTTTGTCATGAACAAGAAGCATAGGCAGAGGTATGTCAGAGACAAAAGAAGGCTCAGGCCACATGAAAAACTCCACCACCCACCACACAAGAGCTTTTACCTCTCCAAACAGACAAAGATGAACTCAATGCCAATATATTGGTAGACTAGCATGAACATAATCATGTTGTTTCACACCAGACAAAGTGAAAGTTACTAAAACTTGTGAAACAATTTCTTTGTAGACACTTCCAGTGAAAAACACCTAAATATGAAAAGTTCATAAGCAAAAAAAACATTCACATCATTTCACACGAGTGCCAAATTGAGAAGTAATTATTGTGCTCTACAGTATAGATGGAGTCAGCTGCACTAGGAGGGTGTGACAAACTCCTGTTGGTGGTGGGTTGTCATATGCTCACTTGCATGTTACAATGCAGCTATACCATGGGTAAGCACATGATGTTAAGTGGGAGCCTCAAGGCTAGTGGTAAGCAAAAATTGTACATATAGAGGATATCACAAATTGAGAAAATGTATTATGTGAGCGGAGGTAAGGTATTGTATCGGAACACAGGCTATGCTTTAGAAAAAATGAAGCTATGATCATGTGCTAGTACTAATGGAGGTAACCTTGCATGGAGGTCGTGTCACCCTCATACTAGTACATTATGAGGGTTGGCACAATACTCACAGACATGTGTAGGAGTGGAAGTTTATTCAAGGCTTGTGGCATGCACAAGAAAATCCATGGCAATTGTGAGCAAGACAATAGCTCTTAGTAGTGTAAAAAAGATAAATAGCATTTCTAGCCTTTCTCAATTCTCAAACATATTTCAGTCATTTATAAGGTAAGTCTTAAGGTGTTGAATGCAATATTATGCAAAACAAGATATTCACTAGTAATACATTACAATATATTAAATCACACAATTCTTTACTGACCCAATGACATTATCTATATTATAATCAAAAATGATGTGATCTCTCTTCATCCAATTCTTAAGGTCTAGAGAAATGTTAACGTCTAACCAAATAAGCACATGTGATTTTCCACTGAATTGACTTATAACTGAATTAAAATGGCTTCATGTAACTACATCTTACAGCTACTGTTCCAGTTTCCTACCATTGAAGACAAAAATCCTACAAGAAAAATACCATTCCTCAGTAGTGTTCAATTTCAAGTTTAGCAAGTCCAGCAAAAATTTCACACAAAACATTTAGAATGTAATAGAAATTATCACATTTTTTATATATTAGTAGCCACTATCAGCATCTGAAAGCATTAGCTTTGTGACTGATTTGATAATACTTTTTGCCCTTGCATTCAAATATGAAAACAATGTAACATACCACATAATGATTTGATGGATTTCAAATTTATTATCAAAGTTATGACTCATAAAGTTGAAAGAACAATCAGCATTAGTTCTCCTGAGCAAATATTATTTAGTTGCATGTGAAACTACTCTACTGTAATGGAACAATAAGGTAATTATATTGTTTACCTACTTACAGCAACTTTTTGTCAGATTTACATGCAAATACTCACTTTAGCTAATGCATCACAGTATTATATGTATTCATCAAACTTGTGAACAATGTAACATAAAACTTAATTCATTTTTAAACAGCAATAGTTATGATAATTTGAAGTATTCCCTCACCTGCCCATTCATATTCCATGTTCCAACAAACACAGATACTTTCTGATCAGGGAAATACCTCAAAAGTTCAGAAGGACCCAAAAGTGATCCTTGACTTCCAACAGTTCCAACTACATAACACCTGCAATGATAAAATTAAAATTGATTCAGCTGTTTTCTAATACTAAAATCTGAAGAGAGTAGTTTCAAATTTCACAAATGACATTATGGACAAGCGTAACTCATTGGCAGTTTATTGTGCACTAAACTTCATATGATGCACAACTAACTAACCAACATTTTGATACTAGATTTTACAAATATAAAAACATGCTAATCATAATAAATAAGGACTTTATATAGCTATAAGTCTGAAATAGATAAAAATTTATCATTTAATACAATTTTAAAAACTTCCACAAGTTATGTTCCAAATTATAAATTTCAGCCATTATGTCTTTCTATTACCTGAATGCATATTAATTATATTTTAAATTCTTACACTTAAAACAAGCTATAAATAGCTACTTATCTTTGTATGTGTGCATAGAATTTTCTATAAATCTGGTATCATGAGGACTGTATAGTTTTATCCTGAGCACATGCAAGTATATATATACAAATTTTAATTTCATTAGCACATATATATATTTGCAACTGCTCAGAACAAAACTATACAGTCCCCATGATACCAGATTTTCATTCCATTAAAGAACTGAAACCTAATGTGAAGATGAAATGACAAGTTTATATAAAATAAATTGTCAAGTGGTTCTAGACAAAACAAGTAAGTCTTGAATCTTTAGGACTACCCCATCCTGAGAACATATGGAAATATAAGTATATACTTCAATCCAACCTTTGTAAAACCTACATGAATGATTAGCAAAAAGACGAACTAAAGTAATAAATAATACTATGAAAAAGTGGCTTCCAATGAAAAAATAATCAGTTTGATGGAACTCTTAAATTACTTTTTATATCTGATACTGTTCTAACCAGATCAGAAGAATTAACTGTAAATCAAGACTCAACATTCATGTCAGTCATTCCTGCAGATCTATGTTGAAGTATAGACTAATACATTCTAGTTTGACACATTCAACTTACTGTACACTCGCTTCTCAAAAATGGTGCATATCAACTGACATGTAAATTATGTCCCATCATCTGCACTTACCAGTGAAGTAGCAATTAAGTGAACACCAAGGGAATATAAGAAATAAGAACTGTAGTACACCAATGAAGCTCCATTTTCAGATTTTTCACAAAACCACCAATATAGATACTAGAGTCCCTCAATTCACCTGTAAAGTTCGACTTAAAACAATGAATGATACCAAAGGAAAATTTTGGAAGCCCTTATGATTAAACAGAAACATCCATCTATAAACAACAGACCTGGCTGAAAGTAAATTAATTAATGTCTGTTATCAAATATGTACAATTTGTTTTATAACATGGTTTTAATATAAATTTAATCCACTGGAGGTTTTCTGAAGGGACGTGTTTTTTCTTAGTTTTTATTTATTTTTTAAAGTTTTATTTGATTTGATTAAATGTTTTTTAATTTTGTATTTTAATTTAAACAAGTTAACTGGATCTTTTTTGATACTGTTAAATTTAATCTGGTTTTAAGTACATTAAGTATAAGAAAATCATTGATGCAACAGTGTTTTCAACAATGGTTCTGCATGTATCCAAAACATGTAGCTTCTAGTTGATGGTTTCTTTGTAATGATCTTTGTTCAGTCATTTCTGTTCTTTTCTAGTTTTAAATGTATACAACATTAAGCATGGTAGTGCTTAGTATGTAGGGATGGGCCAAGAAAAAAAATGGCTGCTGAATTCAATCTATTATCTTATGATTACAAATAACTGCTAAAGTTGAGTTATAGTCTTATTTGAGAACCTAATTGTTATTATCAAGTGTTGCAAGGCTTGTGAGACTCCCAATATCATTGAAAGTTATAATTTTCCTATAATGAAAATGTATTTCCAATAGGTGCTTACCACCTGTCCCAGATATTGCTATTCTTGTTCAGTGCTTCCCTCTGTATGCAAAACAAATGTTCGCATGCTACAAGCCTTGCACTTTCACGCTCCCCACAATCATTGTGGTTCAACTGCATCTAGCATGCAAATTATCATGCAACAACTCTGCAATACGAGTGTGACACACCCTTCTGATGCATGTGACTCCCTCTATTCAGTTCTACCAAACTATCTCTTCGAGTTTTGGCATAATTTTTCAGTGGGGAGGAAAGGTGAGAAGTGTGAGTGAAGGAAATACATTTTCAGTATAGGAAAATTATAACTTCGGATATGATACATTACCTCTACTCACAGATATAGCTAGAATCCCACACTGAATAGGTGGAGGGACTGGTGTGAGGGATAGAAAGAAGTATCCTTCAAAGGCATCTGAAGAACACCTTAAAAGTGAGATCCTCGTAGTAGATGACCATAAATGGGAGACCACACAATTTCTGTACCAGGTATACTCTACATCAGCATATCCCAACCTTTTTTGGCCACAAAACACTTTTCAGCTGAGAAAAGCTTACAGAACACTAGACACATGAAATATCGGTGTAGAAGATATGTTGTGTGTGCAGCACCCTCTAGATTTAATGAAATGTTTACATTTTTATGCTTAGAATATACTTTAGGTACAAACTTCCCCACTGAGATATTATGTAGAATAGGTATGGCATCTTCTATAATTCTTCTTTAATGCGAAATCAATATTATCTAATCCTAATATGTATGAAAATATTTCACAATAAGGTATGATCATACAAGTGTTAAATACTTTATTAATAATTTAAAATCATGATTTTCTCATGAAGCACCTATCAATCTCAGATGGAACACCAGTGTTCCTCAAACATAGTTTGGGAAATGCTGCTCTACATCATTGTAGAAAGAAGTGTCACAGAAATTGGCAGAAAATGGTAGGAGCACAACCAAAAGGGAGAGAAAAATGGTTGGACAGGGATCCAAATCATCATATATCAGAAACTCAGTCCCCTAGAGGAAACATCAGAGAAGAAAATCTCTAATGACAGTAATGTGGGTGAGAGTAAAAAGGATGTGCCCCAACGTGTAGAGTGGCTAGGACATGACGGACCGTAATCAGTAAGTCAACTGTATCCAAAACCCAGCCACTGGGAACCAACATTCATGTGGGGTACAAAAGAGGATCACACCATCAGCAAGTCAACTACAGTCCAAAACCGAGCTACTGGGAACTAATATCCATGTGAGGATAGGAAAGAGGATCATACCTGCAGCAAGTCAACTGTAATCCAAAACCCAGCCATTAGGTGGAGAAAGGAAAGAGGATCATATCTTCTTCACCTCAAGTTTAGCAGACTGGTGGGAGATATAATGCCCACCGATATGTGAACAGGACACATGTGAGCAAATTGATAATAAATTACCAATCTGGGAATCTGACATCCAGACAATTGGAATAATCAAGATGTCCCCATATTGTGAGACATCCCACACAAAACCAATTAGACGGAAACCACCCCCAGTGCAGTATCATCCTCAGTATATATAAAACTTTGAGGGGTAGTGCAAGAAGAAGAAATGTAGCAACCTGAATTTTCATTCACCATGACCCACGACATATCAGCAATGAATATGAGGCCAATTGAGTGAGGGAACAGAGACACCACTAATACATGTGTGAAGACTTATGTTGATTGGACCTGCTCTGAATTCAAAACTCAACCACTGGGAACCAACATCCATGTGGGAGGTAGGATGAGGAATCCCAATCGAAGGGGTGAACTGCAATTTTGATGGCTCACTCCAAAGCTACAACATCCCATTAGACAAACTCATTCAGAGATGGAGCATCTTATTGGAGGACATCTCATCATCTACACCAGCAGAACACAACCGTCTTACTCTCAACTAAATGGATTCATTATTATTTGTATCATATATCATTATCACATTCAGAAAGATGCCTCCATACTTCACTACCCCAGCAGCTTGGAACTGGAAAGTGGTAAGGAGTCCCATACTTCACTGGAAGAAAAAGGGGGTAAAAATGCAGCTGCAAGAACATCAACACTGGAGATAGTGCAACAGGTGACCACAAAAACCATATTTTGAAAAACAGACCAATCCTGATTTATTCAATCTAAGGGATGGCAAGAATGGGCAGTTATCCACTCCTACTTTACCCATGAAGCCCATGGTCTGGAATGGCCATATGAATGAAGCAAATATATTGCAAGATAAAATCTACAAGTGATCTTGTGGAACA